AACATTGCCAAATGAGCTACATTGATCTTTAGAATTCCATAATTCTTTATGCTGCTTGTGTCCGAAACCTTCGTCATAATTTCCTTTTGATTTGAAAAGTTGCTTAAAATGGGGTTTACAATATATTTTTCCATGGAGAGATGCATAATTTCCCAAGCTGCCAAATGGAAGAAAAATTATTTTATACTTTTACATATCATAAACCTACCGTGAATTTTACACTTGATATTTCAAGTATGCCTACATGACAGTATATATAAAGAAACAAAGAGAAAAAAGAGAGCAAATTCAATGTATTGGCCAATTCTGACCACACACAAAGTATCTAAAACCTTGAATTTTAAATTCCCATACAATGTCAAAGTTAAAATGAAGGAGAAGAGTCCTGCTTCGTGATTTAAGAAAGAACACAAAGTTATTCAATTGTTGCACAGCATAAGCTTCAAACAGGAATGTTCCACAGCACTTCAGGGTTATTGGGACCTTTTTCTTTATCATATTAAAAGACTGAAGCCTCTTTTTTTGTACAAAATATTTGGAGAAAATACAGTGCTAATTTTTTTAGCCTCTGTGTGAATTATAAAAATTTGTGTTTAATTACATTTGCATTCTGCTCCTAAATGAAGTAAAGGAAGTGTGTGTAACTAGCCTCGAAGGTGTTAAAATCAGAACTGTTAGCCTTTGCAGTCCGATAGAGCAATAAATACTGTATTTCATATAAAGGTTACAAGAGTGGTTTGCTAATGCAGAGAATCATCGTCATTCAATTTATGGATGAGGAAAAGTTAGAGAAAACTTGGTCTGGGTTCAGAGGTCTTAAATTCCACCCCAGTTTCTGTGTCTATGGCTTCCTGTTCATGAGCTCTCCTGAAGGTCTGGAACAGTCAGTAGCAAGTAATATGTAGAAGAATTTGGAAGATACTAGGATGAAACAGTCCTTTAGAGAATTAAAGTACTTGTTCCATGTTACAGTGCAGATGTCAATAGCAGAGAAGAAAAGGGGAGCCCAGGTTACTTCCCTGTCAACCCAACATCCTACAGGCTGAATAGCCCGAAAATAATTTAACTGGCTGTATTTATACTCAAATGCAGAGTTCTATGAGTGAACATGCAGTTACTTCTTACCTTAATTGACTGCCACAGTGGTGACATCGGAAACATGATTTATGAAAATTCTGCTTGTCGGCAACTAGGCATTCCATTGGGTAAACTCTCTGTTGACAGAGTCTGCACGTTTCATTCTCCTGAATCTGCAGTTTCTAGAACAACATATGAAGAAGTTACGAGTCAGTTTAAGCTAATTATTATGATTTATTTTTAACTGTATCTGTCCCGATGTTTTTTTAAAACTGTAGTTTTCTTTATGCATTAACTGGTAATTCAGTTAGGTAATTTTAGGGCTTAATTTTTGTTCAACTAACTAATACTTTGAAAGTGGAAAACTACTACCTTTCCCTTTTCAGAAATCCATACATTTGAAAGGACTATTCACTTACAATATTTCCCATTTATTAGTAATAACTATTTGTTTTGTGAAATGAGATGGGATAATAAAAGGTTTACTACTATAAGTAGAATTAAGTATAATGTATGTATGTATGTATCTCCATACATGTATAATGTATGTGTGTATAAGCTTTGAATCTACAGGGATCAATAGGCAGTGGGCAGATGTTTGAAATTCTGATGAGGAAGTTTTGCTTAATCATGCCAAAAGCACACCAAGGAGTTCCACTTCTGTGGTAACCTGCAGACTGTACACTCATATAGTCCAAATATGCTATGGACACAATTATTTGAGATTTTTACCATTTTCATTTTCAGACCTGGTATTTCCTTCAGTTAATTTTTAAGACTGAGTTAGCTACAGTTATATTAGCTAACTATACAAAATCCTTTCTTTTCTGAAGTATGATTAATTTAAAGGAAACTAGTTCTCTGTGAAGTGCAAAGCATGAATAAAAGGTTTATTTCATACCAGTAAGGGACAGAAGGAAATAATGGGGAATCTGTAAAAATGCATGCTGGTCTTCTGTCTTGATTTCTGAATCACAATGAAAACCATACTAGCAGACAAATACAAATATTGTGGACCAAATAATTGCTTGTATAAATATATCTCCGTTGACAATAGTAATGCCCCTTTACATCAGCAGAAAATTTGTCCCCTTTCAGCATTCTGTCTGGTTTTGGTTTGCCTGCTGGTATTGATTTTATAGCAATTCACAAATCAAGACAGAAAGTGATGTAGATTTTATAACTACAGCTTTAGTCACCACATATCTCTAGTGCCCATTATGAGAGCTGTGAAAAATGCTGAAAGAGAAATTAAATATCTTCAAAATAAATGAAGAACTTGCAAAAAGAATAAACCACCAGTAAAAACAACAACAAAAAAATCCCCCAAAGAATTGTTGTTTATGAAATTGGAAGCCTCAAATGTAGCCTCCACTTAGTCTCCAAAGGGGCTGACAGGGAGGCGGGTGGGTGTGGAGTGCGGTGTTCCGGACACGCCGCTGCCTCGCTGGGCATGGGCTGCTCCTGGTTGGCGGTAGGAGCCAAACATAAGGGCTCGGCTCAATATTCTTAGGTATGCAAATATTCTGGATGTAACGAGGGAGGAAAGGCACAAGCTTTGTGATGCAGGAAAAGAAAAGGTAACAGGGAGGGGAAAAAACAGGTGCCGTGTCTCCTGGAACACTGTCTCGCTGGATGGTTGTATGTCATGTAGTTGATAGTTGGTAATGCCCTGCCTCAGAAGGCAACAGTCCAGAGATAAAAAGAGAAAGAGGGAATTTAAGGGAAGTTTATCCCAAAACAACTTCCAGGACTGAATAGTGGAGCCAATATTCATCTTCATGAAAATTAGTCATGTATTGGGTGTCAGTGGCAAGGTTTTGGTGTTTTTGGGGCTGCGGGGGCTGCCTCTGTGAGGAGAGGCCGGGGCTGCCGCAGGCTGTGTGCGGCCGGTTCCAGCCGGCTCCAGTGGACCCGCCCCAGGGCACGGCTCAGCCCCACAGCCATGCAGGTGGTGTCTCTGCGAAAATGTGTTTAAGAAGGGGTAAAATCCTGCACAGGTAGCGAGGGCTGAGGAAAAAAGTGTGAGAAACAGCCCTGTGAACAGCAAGGTCAGAGAAGAAAGAGAGGAGGAGGCGCCGCAGCAGAGATTCCCCTGCAGACTCTCAGGGAGAGCAGGGGAGTGGGAATTTCTGGCAGCCTGGGGAGAGGACGATGCTGGAGCAGATACTCACGCTGCAGCCTGTGGAGGACACCACACTGGAGCACGTGGGTGTTCCCAGAAGGAGCTACAGCCTGTGGAGAGCCCGCGGTGGAGCAGGAAAAAAGTGTGAGGAGGAAGGAGCAGCAGAGAGGAACTGGTATGGACTGACTGCAGCCCCTCATTCCCCATCCTCTCGGTGCAGCTGGGGCCAAAGGGAGGAGGTGGAAGCATTAGCAGTGAAGGAGTAAAGTTGAGTCTGTGAAAAAGGGGGCAGGAAGGGAGGTGTTATAGTGTTTGTCTTTGCTTCTCACCATTTAAATCAATTTTACTTTCCCCAAGTCAATTCTATTTTGCCTATGAAGGTAATTGGTAAGTGATCTTTCTGTCTTTATTTTGTCCCATGAGTTTTTTCCCCCTGTTTTCCCCACCGTCTTCTTGAGGAGTGGGGAATGAGAGTGGCTGGCTGGGGGTCTGGCAGGTCAACCCACCACACATGAGTGATCCTACAAAATCAGTCGGGGAAAAGGCTGGTCTACTATTTGAGATCAATATTTACCAGATAGAAGAGATCCAAAATGAAATCCAGAGGTTTGACCATATAGAGAATTCAGTGTTCTACTGGCACTGTGTATTTCTACTCACTTTTAACATGCTTAAGTATACTGAGTTTGTCTGGGATGCAGTTCATTTTCTTCCTAGCAGCTCCTATAGTGCCATGTTTTGGATTTGTGGCTAAAGTGTTGGTAACGCACTGATGTTTTAGCTGTCACTGAACAGTGCTTGCACAGCATCAAGGCCTTTTCTTCCTCCCACTCTGACCCGCCTGTCTGCCCCAAGTGAGTAGGCTGGGGATGCACAAGAAGTTCAGAGAGGACACAAGGACAGCTGACCCCAACTGACTGGAGAGATATTCCATACCATATGACATCATGGTCAGCGATCAAAGCTGAGGGAGAGGAGGAGGAAAGGGGGACATTGAGAGCTATGGTGTCTGTCTTCCCAAGTAACTTTGTACATGTTGAGGCTTTGCTTTCCAGGAAGCGGCTAAACATCTGCCTGCTGATGGGAAATAGTGAATCAATTCCTTATTTTGCTTTGCTTGCACCCCAGCTTTGCTTCACTTTGTTAAACTGTCTCTGCCTCTGCCCACAGGTTTGTTTTTTTTGCTTTTTGCTCTTCTGATTCTTTCTCCACTGTGGGGGAGTGAGGGAGCAAGCCACTGGGTGTGGATTTAGCTGCCAGCCAGGGCCAACCCACCACGTTAAGTGCTTTGTTGGACCACCGCCAGACTGTGCCTCAATTCACAGGATCACAAGCTACTCGTATTTAGCTCTACTCCTACCGTGAACAGTGGTAGCACCCTTCTTTTAGTGCACAGAGTTGGGAAACCCAAAGCAGACCTTTCTGTTTAGGAGTTACATAGGTACGGGAACGTTTAGCTTTTTTCTGCTATTTTCATTGCTGTTCAAGTATCAGCTTCTGTTCATGTATTTCAAGTGGCTAAAGGTAAGGTAACATCTGGTTTTCCTACAGATCCACATCCATATTCAGTGACCAAAATAGATGCACAAATGGAGGACATTGATGTTCATCATGGAATAGCATATGTAATATTTTCTAAGTTTCAAATGCATAACTTTGCAATCTAAATACTAGTTTATTATAATTTTTAAGTAACACAATGTGTGCATCTTGATAGCACCACTAGAAACTTCTCAGATGCAAGTTTCATTTGTTGTTTGTTCCTCATCATAATAAGTTTTATTTGCAGAGTCCAGTGGCTGCATTTCAAACATCCATGTGACTGTGTGAGCACTTTCTCTAACTAGCGCAAGAGCCTTGTCCATAGTTCCTGCAGAGCCTGGAGCATGTGCACATGGTGCATCAAGAGGCTGGATCTGAAACATCCAGGCTATGTATGTAACATCTCCACCTGCAGTGGTTTCCTGGTCTGCAATGCTTCTAGCATTGTCTGGGTCTGGAGGGTCATCTTTCATTGGAACAAAGGGCTGGTACTCAAAGACCCATCATATAGAGAGCACCTCTGCAATCTGGTTATCATGCCACTCTAAGCATTGTTTTTCTGGTCTTGTGAACGTCTGAGTGAGGAAGCCAAAGCCATATCTAGCCCGCTGCACATCTGACGTCATAGTCCATGTTTCAGATTCACCAGATAAAATATTAGAAGTCTTGTTCAGGTAATGTTTCTCTAAGTGTTTTCTTAATTGTGGGTGGAAATGTTGGTATAAACATCTTAGTTCACATAGATTGCTTTGCTTTGTGTACACATCTGTGGAGAGAGTCGGCTTTGTTGGAGAGCTGGATGATTCAGTGGCCTGGGAAGTTGCTGTCATTTCCAATGGAGCTTTTGCGTAAGTAGTGGGAAACTTTTCTATGCTTCCATATTCGTGGCATGTGGAGCTAATAATTGCAGAAGTAGCAGTTCCATCCTATTTTTTCTCGGTGTAGAAGTTTCCTGTAGTCTGCTTGCTGAAGTAGTAGCAGTAGAAGATGAACTAACTGTTGAAGGCAATGTAATTTCCTGGTGCATATTTTCCATCTTTAGGGAACAAAAGTGGATTTATTTTTAAAGTATAGTAACATAGAAAACAATTTTTCTGTTCTTCACAAAAGCTAGTTTTGTAAGGATCCAAGCACTAGCATTATAATAAGATCTGGGATGACACAATCCATCAGCTATTGCTCAGAATGCATAAAACCAATCTTTTGATCTAAGAGCTGTGCTATTTGCACCATAGAATGTATGTGAAAATAAATGTGGAATTTGTACAAAATGCAAAATGATGATTGAGCAGTCTTGGAGTTTTTGCTGCAACAAATGCAGACTTTGCATTACAAGCCTAATGTAAAGATACGCTGTGGCTTATGCTCATTGTCATCTCTTCTGAAAGTGAGATTTTCTATGCTTCTGAGAATCTGTGGTGACAGAAATGATACATATTTACAGATGCAAAACAAGGAAAGATGAGACTGTATTCAACAGAGAAGGAAAGGAAGTTTTTATAAAGGTCTGCTTTCAATTGTGTTTGTCACATACTGTAAGTGCTTGTTGAGCCTTCTAACATACTTCATATTACATTATGTGCACTCAATTCCTGAAGTCCACGTATTTCCACCACTTTCATAGGTTAGATTTTTGATCACAATTAGTCAAAATAGAAATTCAAACTGCATGATAGACCAATGTCTTAACTTTGACACTTCTAATTTGCTTTACAAAAGATTCCTCTTATTAAACGCACAGACCTTTACTTCTTTTGCAGGTGTTGCAGTCTGTCTGTCAGAGTGAACAGCCTTTTCTTGAGCTGCCCTTTCAATCTGCTGTTTTAAAATCTGTGTTACAGTCTTTGGGAACTCTTCATTCTGAGCTGCATTGATTACTGGAATGGGAAGAAGAATAAAAAAGATTATTTTTCCTCTACTCTGCATTTTATGAAATTGACTTTATCACTGAATAGTAAAACATTATTACATTAGAAGAATTTTACTTAGCCTTGCAGAAGTCTAGAGTCACTTGATCATGAACAGAAATCCACAGAGAGAATGACAGAATAGTTGTTGAGGGATGTATCATCACCTACCATTTTGCCATACCTGAGTGGTGCGGCAGGGCTAAAGGTTGACTGGGGTCTGTGGAAGAATACAATGCGTGAATTCTAGTACCAGGACTAAGCTGCAGCAGCAGCGATGTCTTAACACTGTGGTTGTGTTCTGTAGGGCTATTCAGTTCAGCTATAAATTGAACCTTTCTCATCCACAGTTTTGTGTATACATAGGCTAGTGTTTGCCTGTATTTTCAGACAAATCTTCAAGTCCCCAGTTCTCCTAACCCACTGAGCACATATTTAAAACCACTTCCTTATGCAAAAGACATCTCTCCATACAAGTTCTAAACTTATTTCTTAAGTCCCATTGAAGTCAGTGAATGTGCTTTTCTGAGAATTCAGAGCAATGTGCATTTTCATGTTTGTATGCTAAAAGCAGTACATTTGCGTGAGTAAAGACATTTGCCATTGCTCGTTTGTGAACCTTTGTTCTCATGCCACTTCTTACCTGTTTCATCAGTGTGCCGAATGGATGTAGAAGACATTTTTGTTTCATGAGTAACTTGCTCGCGATGAGAAACCTGTGCACAAAACCTTCACTTTACTACAAGATTTAGTGCAATGTGTAAGAATTTTCTGTAATTCTGCAATTTTATTTAAAATGTTACATCAAAGAAAGATATGAATGGAAACCTAATTAATTAGCATGTTAAAACTATAATAAATTGAAAACACTTAATAGAACAACTTTAAAAAAATTATTCTGCACTGCCTAATGAGGGAGGCTATCAGCAGAACATCCAGATCTTGCTGTATCAAGTGGTACAGGAGGAAGAAGCAAAGCAGATATGTGGCAGCATCAGTATAATTGCCCAACGACATAATTATTAATTGATATACTTACCTCTTGTGTTTGAGAGGCTTCCATTTGACTTTCTTTGGAGGTAATTTCATTGCACTCGGCTTCCCTGGTGCTGCTTGGTACTGTGTGCTGACTGCTACTTGACATTTCCTGAAGACAAATAAAAATAATTGCACATTAACAGCTAATAGTAAATTGGATTTTTCTTTTTTTTCTTTTTAACCCCCGTGAAAGGCTTCACAAATAAATTCTAATTTAAGTGGTGTGACTAGAACAGTCATTTAACAGCAGAGTACCGTTGTTATTATGATTGCTATTTGTTGCCATAAAAATTGGAGCAGGCTTTTTTTGTAACAGAAGATGTCAAGTCATTTTGACCAGCAGATATGGAAAGCTGCATGAATACATGCAATGTATAATTAGACTGGAAGGGGATGAAGGTGACTAGGAAGACTGGTTCTGCCTTTATGTGCTGTGCCATCAACTTGTTACCTATCAGCGGTCATGAAGTTAATGCAACTTTGCAAAAGGAAGTAAAATAATATGTCTGTATAAGGATGCTGAATTCCTGCATGTGCTTTATACTTTATATTGGCTCTTCCAATACAAAAATCATACTGAATTGCAGTTGTGAAAAATATGGCCTGTAGACTAACCAGGAGATCCTATAAAATAAGGAGGCTAGCATTATATCTGCAAGTGTGACAACTGCAGTGTAATAAACAGAGCCTATGGTTGAGAGTTTAAAGCACTGTCTGAGATGTCTGTGTAAACTAAGCTCTGAGGTTATCTATGTTTAGTTCAACTCCAGATTCTGGCAGTGATTTTTCTTATTTAAAGCCTATCACAGAACCTGTGTTACATCACATTACCTGTGTCCATTGAGTACTTTGAGACTTAGTGACTAGAAGAAATTAATCCTAAAGATTGATATTAAGATATCTGTTCTGTGCTTCCTCTCTCTTGCACACTAGCATGCACACAGAGACATCTAACAAATAATTTCACTCATGTCAAATTAGATTTTCTTCTTCCTTTGTGGGAAGGAAGCTTGCCTATTAGTTTCTACTGATAATAAGCTTTCAAATGAAAGGGGCTTCTGGTCCCTCCATCAAGAGCTTCCCAAGTGTTCAGTGTAATGTGAATGTGAATGTGAATGTGAATGTGAATGGAGGCAGCACTGTGTTTCTGAGATTGCTGCTATACATCTAGTGCAACAGAGAGCTGTAAGCTTCCTGCATCTCAAATCCTGGTACCTCCTTGAAATCCATCTTATTATGGGGCAAGAAATTAGCTCTCTTCCTTAGTCATCCTATGACAAAGCATATATTTATGGGATTTATTCCACCTTCAAACTAAGGAATGCTTACACTGCTTGCATCTCCACTAATATTTCTGCTGGATCAATATAGGTGAGTGTCCACTGCCTGGCCCATAATTTCTGCCATACAGGAGGCAGCAAGGGCTTGTGGGGTCTATGGCTGAGAAACAACGTGCATCCTCTTTGTGTTCTTTAGGAATTCTCTTCTACCTCTGTCCTGCCAAATCATGTGTCAACTATAAGATGAATTAAAATTGTAGGAACAAAAGGTAGAATAAATTTTCTGATTACTGGCCTATTAAATGCTTTCATGTGTTATGAGTATCAAAAATCAATCCTATCTACTGCAAAGTTTGAGCTGTAAAAGTGAGGTGAGGCTTGAGGAGAGCAAGACAGAGCCTGGTTTACACTCACAAGTTCTGTATGTGGAATGGTTTTGAGGGACCCGCACAACATGAGGAGATGTAGAGCTAATCCTGTACCAAGTTGAAAAGAGGCAGTTCAAAGAAAATGAAGTGAAAATGTTTCCATCTATTCTCTGTTTAATGACTACGTGTAGGTGTGTGTATAATATGCCTTTTCATTTTATATGGATATGCTTTTCAATATATTTATGCATATGTATGCTTTTTTTCATTTAAGATAGGCTTTTCTGTTCTAATGTGCGTGTTTTAGATATGTAAGTCAAGCTCTCATTACCGGAAAAGCTCATCCATGAGACACTAAATATGTTCATGATAGACATTATGTGTCCTTTGAATTGTTGGGGTATTAAAAAGGAATATAATTAGGCTTAATGTAGTCAGGAAGCAAATCTAATCTGAATGTCACTACTGCTTTATTGCTGTGACTTTGGTACTGCTTATGAAGTGGTTGCCATATTGCAAAAGATTATAATCGTTTAATGCGACTGCTATGGGTGTCTGAAATGCAGCCAAAACATTATGGGCCAGAGTTTGACAATATAATTACATGGCCTTGCTCTGGGCATGCAGAAAGGAAGAGGGACTTGGAGGTTCTCGTGTTTTGTGTGTTTGTCAAGATGGCTAATTGAAATTCCAGTGACAGAGGGTACAATACTGCGTGTTTATTATTCCAAACAAGTGGAGAGCAGGAAGACCTGTGATTTCATCCCTCCTCTGTAATGACGAACTGTTGGATATAGAATTAGTGTACCCAATTAGAGTTTGTGGCATGTTTCTTAAATCTCATAGATTTTGGAGATTATTCTGTAGAATTATTTGATGGTCTGTGTGGGGTAAGGTTGCTCTTATCTTATTAAGTGGGGTAAGTCATGCCTCCAGTGCAGGACTGTGGCTGAAGATGGTGCTCTAGATTTAACACTGGAGTTATGCTTGTGGGAACTTGATCCCTTTATTTGTTTCTGTGGAATACACAATTCCTGCCGTACAGTGCATTATTAAATCAAGCAAGGTTAATTAATCAACCAGATCCCGTATCGTGTTGCCAGGAGGGAACAGCTCCCCTCCAGCTGTGCAGAGGAGGAGGACAGACAGAGAACTCAAAGTCGTTTTTGGTGCCAGGACTGAAAAGACAACTATTAACTGTTGCTTTTCCCATGGCCTAAGAATCACCTTTCAATTACTTTTTGTTTATTTTATGCCATATCTATGAGTGAGCTTCAGAAAACTTTGTCAGGTGGATGATTGTTGGCATGGTGCTAGCTCACAAATGGTTTCTTATGGTTATTTTATTTTTATTTCAGACTTCCGTTGCTGTCCATTCTCTTCTGTTTGTTTCAAGTCACCCTTTATGGGGACTGCTGACCTTCCCATGAATATCTGTACAGTAATTAGTACAGAGGGTTATAGTGTCTTGTTGTGTCTCTGGATAATATGTCATTCTAACGTAAAACAATACTATTTTAAAAATAAAGATGCAAATCTGAGAATAAGTCTGTATATGTTTTGTTAGAGGAATAAATTTTTATGTAGGCATTCAGATTCTGCTACTGAAGAGTATTTCTACACGTGTTTTAAATGTTAGTGGCCCATACATCAATTTTAATGCCTCTGCAATGCAATAATGTGCCAAGATTTGAATTTTCGTTAACTGTTCTATTTTAGACCAAGGTTTGCTTTTTTGTGTTGCCATTTTTGCAGTTTCCTTCTGTTCTGACAACAGACAAAACATACTTTCCCTTTCAAAAACAAAGTTGCTTTGAGGCTCAGAATATGTATGCTATGGTGTATGCATATGTACATAAAACATCACACAATTCTATATATGTATGTATGTATTGTTCCAGGGGACCAAATGGCACAAAAGCTTGTCCAAGCACAAGAAAGTCTTTTACTTGCTCACATTTGAAGCATATTGCTTTTAGTTGAACTATACATTATGGTCATCATATAAGCTCTGTGGGAAGTTGACTAATATGATATGGTTTATGTATTGGCATTTTTAGAGCTTACTGTTCTAAATTGGTATTTACAAACTTGCAGTTCCCTTTAGGCAGCAGTGGAAATAAATTGTGAGCCTAAAGCTTCAGTTACAAAATTAGTAACAATAGGATGACTGACTGATTATTTATTTGGTGTGGATCTTCATTTCTTCCTCAAAGCTGTGCTGTTTTACCTATTTATGTTCTTAATCACGGTATCAACTGTGCATCAGTACTGTGAGAGTCTTGTAAGAACTTCACTTATCTGTACTTCATCTCTAGGATTTGCCAGCCTTGCTTAGTTGCATGTATATACTTAGGGTGTTTTGGGCACTATATGGAAGATTTTCATTAAAAGGTAAGGTTTTCACCGTTCACTAGCCCTGTCCAGTTATTCAGTCTTATACTCTGCCATTGCTAGACGACTGGCAAGTGCTACACTAGCAATCTTAGAAAATTTGTCTGGAATGACCCTCTGCTATACCTGTGTCATTCCTGACACACGATACTATAATGGTTGAATGAATATCAGATGCTTTCAATTTATTCCACTTTCTCTTCCCTATGTAGGAGATTCAGCTCACTTGCCAGAAGCGGCTTGTGTCTGACACTGGATAGTGAGATTTTGTCTGAGCAGCTAGCTAGCTGAGCTGGTGCAGCAAACCACTCCAGGCTGACATTTGCAGAACAATAACTATGGAGTTCATGACCTCTTCTCATCTTGGTGGCTGATGATAAAGGGTGCTTATGGTGCTAGTGGTCAAATTAAAGACCAGGTCTCTAAACAAACTCTGGTTGAGTTTGTGAGCACATGGCAATCCTGGGATCAGTGTTCATTGCTGTTCACCATTCTGGACAAGAGTTTAGTGAATCCTACTGGTAATATGGCGCCTTTCACGAGAAACCAATCTCCCTTACAGTGAAGGGAGCTATGAGTGATGGCTGCTGCGTGAGAAAAACAGAAAGATAAATAGTGATTTTTTGCATATTTGATGCCAATATTTTGAATGAAAAGCTATGCACTCCTTGTGCAATAATTGAATATGTAGTAAAATGTTCAGCTATGTAGATTACTGTTTAAAAGAAATTAATTGCTTCCTTATTGTAGCTTTGATTAATAGTTTGAATTAATCCAGATTTGGAGATCTGTCTTCAAGCTACATGATTTCTTTGTTTTGCCCTGGGATTGATTCAGTGACCTTGAATAATCTTTCAGATAAGTGTATAATCCCATTTTCAGTGAGAGTGCAGTTACATTAGTTAGAAATGGGATTTTATGGTCTTGCAGTAAGTTATTTAACCTAAATTTAAAGATAGTTCCATATAGTCTGGGTGATTTTATTTCCTAAGAATGTGACTATTTGTGCTGATGATTTGAGAGAGCCTCCTCAACTAGCCACAGAGGACAAATATATGGATAAGTATGCTTAGAGGTCACAACTTTGTTGAAGAGCTACACGATAGTGGCTTTGTGGAGAATTAGACATCACTGTTAGGCCAGGCAAAAATGCATCTTCACATCACAGAAATGAAATTATTTGGTTCTGAGTAAGAGAAAAAGTCACATAACTTAGAATCATAGAATCATAGAATCATAGAATGGTTTGGGTTGGAAAGGACCTTAAAGATCATCAGGTTCCAACCCCCCTGCCATGGGCAGGGACACCTTCCACTAGCCCAGGTTGCTCAAAGCCTCATCCAGCCTGGCCTTGAACTCCTCCAGGGATGGGGCATCCACAACTTCCCTGGGCAACCTGTTACAGTGTCTTACCACCCTCACAGTGAAAAATTTCTTCCTAATGTCTACTTCTGAATTTCTTCATCCAGATAAATGGCAGCTAGGTCGGACCACGTCATCAGAAAAGTATGTGCATAACACTTTCTATTATATGCTCCAGTATGATTATGTCCAACTATGGGATTTTTCTGCTTAGTTAAAAAAATGCTTTAATACATCTGCAACAAACTGTGTCTTCTCCCCTACAAACTGGAGTTTTGCTTTTTGTCTGTGCAAGTCGTTGATATTGATATTAATGTGTAAGAAATGAGAGATGACTGATAGATATGATGATGCTTATTTAACATGAAAATGAACCTATGGCAGAATGTTGATGTGTCCTGTTCTACAAAGTTGGAGAGCAATATTGCTTAAAAATCTGTCCAGGAAGTGCAGGATAGTAAAGCAATTTACTGGGCCATTACCGTTGTTCAGAGTGTACAGGACAGATTATGCAATCTGTTTTATTATAGGGGATTTCACATAGTCCAAAATCATTATCTCCTACAATGATTTTTAAGGTATATGCTAATGAAATAATAATATGTAAAGACCTTTTATCTAAAATAACACTTAGCTACTATTTGTTGTACATTTCTGTAGCATCTGGGTTCTTCTGTACAATATTTGATCTCTTTAGGGGAGTTGATTAGATTTAATTCAATGGAAGCAGGAAACTCCTTTAGAAAGAGAATGGCTCAACATCATGTCAAATGCAATATATACAAAATATCACCATGATACTTGATAATGAATTACAGTCTTTCAGACAGAGATGAGTATAAAACACTGCTATGGTAGTAATCTGCTTTATGCATCTATTTGATCTAAATCTAGTATTGCCTGTATTGAGTGTTCATCTGCATAAAAAAAAATATGTGATTCCTGTATTATATCTCAAAGAGAAAATTCTATGAGTATGAACATTAGGGAAATGTCTTAGTCATGATGAAAACTCTTCAGTAAAGCAAACAATCATATTTTTCCCTCAAGCTATCTAGCAGGGCATACCTAATTTGTTAGTATTAAAAATGCTTTTGTTACCTGTACAGATTTGTGCTGGTGCTGGTACTGAGGAAAGATCTTTTGTGGAGAGGTCATCTGCACTTTCTCAAATTGTTTCCTCACTGCTGCCAGGCCACCAGGCACAGTACAGAACTTGGTTTTCTCTGAAGTCTAGAGTGATAAAATAAGGCCAGTTGTTTTCCATTTGCACTAAGAATGTATTTCTATGAGCTGATTTTTTTGAAGTAGTTAATAACAGTATGCTATAATGCTTATAAATTTTAAATGGAAAATTTGGAAACACTTGGTTATGTCTGTAGTCTTTTGTAGGCAACTTCCACTGACATAATCTGTAAACCCTACTTATTTTAACAGTACACATGAATTAACATTAGCATTCAGAATAGATACAGTAATTAGACAGTATTTTTTCAGGTGTCATCAAAATACAAAACATATACATACTGTTAACATTAACTGCTGAATCCCATTGGCCTATTTTAGGACTTTTACTTGTCAATCAAAAAGTAGGACCTGTAAATGATGAAGTTCTTTTGGAATTTTTCAGTCTAGAATTTATTTAACACTGGTTGCTAAATACTCATGTGTGAAACAGATCCTGCTAATGTAGCTGAATATTAATCTCTACCCAAACTGGTGTCTGAGGACTCAGTGGTTTCCTCTGTAGTTCTAGGGATCAGCCATGTGTTTTAAGCCGTGTAATACTGTGTCTTTGCAAGAATGACTCGGACAATCAAAAATTCTGTTTCTGGCAAGTTCATAGACCACTGCACAGGAGCCATACATTGTGATTTGGAGAACTAAAGGCCAATGTAGATTTTAAAAATGTTTGTGTTTGACCAGAATCTTTAGCACCAAAAGGAGTAGGTCCTGTCTACTTGATTGTCAGTAGCAATCACTTTCCAGAGCAATCCTCTGCTGTTCCCTCTTCTACTGTGCCACTTGGGCTTCTCTGTATTTTTTGAATAGGTATTGTTGAAACACATGCAGAGAGCTTCAAGAAGGTGTTTGTGAGATTATCCTTCTTCACTAGCAACGGTGCTGAAGGAAACCCTCAAGGGTCCCTGTTCTAGTTCTGTCCCTTATATTTTACCTCTTATATGGTACCAGAATGAAGGTTTCAGCATTTGAGCTTATGAATCTGTGTGCACAAAACCCCCCACCCAATAATTAGAAATAACCTTGTAAAGAAGGTTACTAAGTAAATGGCTTAGTGCTTACACCTGATGAGTAAATAAGCAGATAATAAAAAACAGGTTTTTTTCCCCTGTGATGAAGGTGCCACAATTCTTTATGTATATAGATGTGTGAGTGTGAAAAGTAATTATTGTAGTGAATGAACATTTCAGGCACACCTTGCCAGCCATTTGGAGATGTTTAGAGGGGGTAAGTGCAGTTATGGGTCACCTTTAAGGAAACATCTTAATTCCCTTTAATGGAACTGTATATACAGTTCCTTCTTCAGGCAACCATCCATTTCAGCAAGAAAGTGTTAGGAGTTCCAGAGTGTAAATGAAGTAGTTCCCATGTGAGCAACACAGGTTAGGTCAGGCTTCATGCAGTTCTTTTGTTTTTGAGACAGAGTACTAATTTCAGCAATGTTTCCAATTGCGGGAGCAGGGAGTTGGAACCTTCTCCACGAGGTGAACTGCAGGAATCTGCTCCAAATACACACAGGCAATTAGAAAATAACGAAGTCAGCAGGCAGGAATTTGGTAGTTGGAAAACACCTGGACTCCAGTGAGCGTGTGATGCCTGTTTTCACTTTGTGGCTTCTGGGATATCCAAGCACCCAGAAAGTCCCTTCAGCTGCTGCAGACCACTTCTCCCAAGAGCAACGTGCAGGTAAGACTGGGAATCTTTCTACAGCTCTTCTTACATATGGACAAAGATGCTGGCTGGCAAGAGCTGCATTGTAGTCCTTCTTTTGACAGATACACTCTCTGATTTAAAGAAATTACTCTTGCCTGTTTAGAGTAAGAAAGTGTTCTTCCTATGTGCTCAAAGTTTAGTGTAAACAAAGACCACTGTCATTCTCACATTGTAGCAAGCCAGTATAATGCCTCCATTTCCTGATACAAGGGGGCTGAGATACAACTTCTGGGTAGGATTTTAAGATATGGTAAAAATACACTTTTTACCCCTTAGTATTTCTGCAGAACTGAGGCAGATTTTCCTGATTTTCGTGGCTGAGGTCTGAAGGCCCGGTTTTCAGATATTCTTGTCTGATAAATGTGTGATGAAGTGGTCTTGCTCTATTGTAATAGATTACAAATTCTGTTAGCCAAATACTTCATGTGCTACTTGGTATTAATATTAAACTTTGCTGTAAAATACCTAATTCGTATTGATAGACATCTAGAGAGATGAATAAAACAAAATTTTAAAGTTTTTTTTTCTAAATAATTTTTCATATAATGCCCATTTTTAAATAATTTTATTATAAAACAATATTTTGTCATACGTCTTGTCTCAGAGCTGCTATTTTAAAATACAGCAATTTCGAATTCTTTTGTTTGAACAGCAAGAACTCTAAACTTAATGTGCTTTTGAATATGATTTTATTATTTGGTAATATTTCTAGCAATGCAGAAACTGCTGGGTTTTGTCATTACGAGCTGAAAGAAGAACTGTGTTGCTAACCTGTCTCAAGCCTGTGGTCCTAATAAATGCAGTTCATGCAAAAGTGGAATAAAAAGAACAGTCCTTCCAATGAATTAACAGGCATTGTCCAAATGACCAAAGGCATAGAGCGTGAAAAATCTCATTCAGTAGAGACAGAGACTGATGCGTCAATATGTTTGCTAAGTAGATTTGGTAATTTAGGTTACAAATTTTGATCCCTATAGTGGTCCATCAGTCAGCTTGTATAAGTAAAGTTGGATATGTCACTATGCAAAGCAAACACAGAGCTAAGAACACAAGGAACCATTGATAGCTTACATGAGCAAAGGAGTTGCTACTCTCTCTCTCAGACACAGCAGCCTTGTACATAGCCATTCTTTCTTTCAAGGAGACAGTCTCCTGGAAATCCAGTGGTGTGTTATCAGCCCTGGGAGTGCTCTGTTTAGGTAGTCCTCTTGCAGGTTTGCGAGAACCCCCTGTAAGTACAGACATATCATATTTTCTGAGAAGGAAACAGGTACCTTTTTTCCAAATCTTGAAAGAAAAGCAGTAGTAGAAAGAAAGAGTATTATCAACTTTTTAGCAACTGTATCTTATTTTCAATTTAGAACTTCCTGAGTGTAGAAAAAATTAATTCAATTAAGTTTTTGAAACCAGGGGAGATTCCTTGGGGAAATTACAAAAAGCTTTATTTTTAAAAAAAACCTCATACAACTTTAACAGCAAGCATAGTATAGTTTTCTTGATATTGTTACATTTGCATTGTTTTATACTGTAAAAAGTAATAACCAATTATAATTAGATATATTCTGTTCTAATTAGCTTTATACATTATAGTATTCATTTGCTTAACAGAGTCCATTCTGAGTTGATTGTAGATTTCAGCTGTTTACTGATACTGCATTAGAGTGCATTTTAGTCAGTTTAGTACTACTAAAACCTTACTGAAAATTATCTAAAGTACTAACTACATTTTAACCTTACTTCAAGATGTGAAGGTTATAGACTTATCTATAAGCATCTGCAATTCAGCCACAGTGAATGTGGAGACAACAGTTCAGAGTACACCTGAAAGAGCAGCACTGTTTTACTAGCAGTAGGAAGTTTTTTCTTGCTGCTCTCTACATTTGTATGACTGTATTATAAGAATTCCATATACCCAGAAAAGTGCCTTTAATTTAGCATAAATGTATTTTTCTTTATTTTTTTCAAACAAGGGGGGGAAAAGTGTGTTGTGAGCATCTCTCTTGTCTGTGATCAGAGGTAGAAGAGGTTTCATAGAATCCCAGAGGGTGGAAGTTCCTCTTGTCCTGTCAAGGTGCATGGAAAACTGGGTTGAATGACACTGAATTTCTGTAACTAAGATACTCCCTTCCTTTTGGGGAGGAGAGGGTATTTAAGACTTCATGAAGACATATTTTTAGTAAAGCCACCAGAATCTATTTTTTTTTTAATCCTTGTGCTTATGCTGCAGATATCAGAGCACCCTGATCCTCCTTAAATCCATCTATATTTCTCTTTGTCCTTGCGTAATAGGACAGAAAAAATTTCTTGCAACCTGCATTGCTTTTTTTTTTTAAACAGCCATGTTTTCTGGAATTACAGAAACAGGCTGTAGCTGGACCAAATTAGCTCAAAAACCAAAACCCACCC